CGTTGCCCAGGGTGCACCACATGGAGGTAAGTCTATTGCAAACCTCTTAATTTATATGTAAACCCAAATTATATCTTTCAATTTACAAAGTTTGGATTGAAAGTGTTCTGTGCTAATTCATTGGCTGAACAACGCGATCGTTCGATTGTACCACCTTTGCATTGGAACCTCTTCGAAATGGCCATAGAGAAGCCATCTACGGAGCTTAAACAGCACGGTTATTAAATGGATTGTGGGGATATAGAGACCGAATGTACTAGATGTAATTGGAGGTTTGTATCGCCGTAGGATTCTGTATCTCTGAAGGCGTAAAGTCGATTACTTCCGGCTGTATGCACTTATCCATCATCCAGGAATTCAAATGAGTGTAGTTGAGAAAGTTGCGTAAATAGAGCCCTTTACTCTTGAAAATTAACTTCCTTTGTTCCACATGGTCCCTTTTAAGGCTAAGCATAAACTGAATAGCGTGCTTCATAGTGCACAAGCCTCAACGACATTCCGGCCAATGTTGTGACGACAATCACAAACTGGGCTGTGTTGAAATCATTGAATTACTACAGGAAAGAGAACTTCTAACTTCGCTACTTACTTACCCTAACTCAATACGCGTTATTCTGCAAGTTGTAAACACCTCTCCTAAACCTTATAGCTGGTACTTTATGGAATTGTGAATCTAGGTATGCGCCAAAAAAATTGGAATTATAGATGCTATCGCACCTTAAGTGAATAGTTATGGTAAACAAAGTTCAGCTCATATGCACATGGTTGGTGGAAAACTCCATAGAAATTATTAGTCTTTTCAAATAAAAAAGTAATTTACCAAATAACTGAATTGAAAGTTGTCCTGCGGTAAACGATTTGTTCGTATTGCATTGTGCTTCTTCTGGGATATTAAGTACATAGGTACTTCGAAATAGCATGACCAACCATGGAGGTAAATCAACCAGTGAACGAGTTCTGAACCTGGTGAACAGACTCTCACCCACCAACCTGGCGCTTAGGTTATGACAACTGAACATTTTTTTTCAAATGACAGGCATTATGATATTTGTCATTAGCCCTTAAACGTTGACTTCAGCTTCCCCCATGGGTGGGGGGGGGGGGTACATATATAGCAGTTAATTAATAGCAATTCATTAGCTGTCTTCTTGCTTCCCAGTATCTCTGGCTTTCCGTCTTCGTCTTTAGGGCTGGACTCCGAATCAGGTGGGTCTTTTCCATTTCCTCCTGTAGGTTACATAAGGGGCATGTTGGTTGAGTGCATAATTTTAATCTGTGAAGGTGTTTTGCCAGGCAATCGTGTCCGGTACGTAGTATAAACTCAGCAACGGATTCGATTCTTGGCCATTCGGGTATGTCGGATAGTGCCACTGTCCACTGTTTCTCCTTTGTTCGAGCTTTAAGTTCGTTGCACCTTGAGGCTGAAATTCTCTTCTGATCAAGGCCTTCATTGTGTGGAAAGACATCGGCCGGTTTCGAGCTTTAATTTCGTTGCACACATGAATTCTCTCCTGATTAAGGCCTTCATTGTGTGGACTGTCCGATACGTAGTCTAAACTCAGCAACGGCTTCGATTCTCGCCAGCCGGGTATGTCGGAGAGTGCCACTGTCCACTATTTCTCCTCTAATCGGAGAGTGCCACTGTCCACTGTTTCCCCTTTGTTTCCACTGTCCACTGTTTCTCCTTTGTTCGAGCTTTGAGTTCGTTGGTATGGTCTGGAATTCTCTCCTGATTAAGGCCTTCATTATTGAGGTCGGGAATTCTTTTCTGATTAAGGCCTTCATTGTGTGGGAAGACCCCGGTCCATAAACAACTGAACATTGGAATACCACAAAGCGGGCTATTTCCTTTGCGAAAATATGTATTCACTGCCATTCAACGGTAGGATCCACAACGGTGTGACACCATTGCTCAAGCATTTCGACCCTTCCTCTTATTCAGATAATTTATCATAAAAAAATACTTAAAAATTTATTCATAACACAAGTCCTAATAACGAAACTTAAATCGGAATCGTTTGTCATAAGTAATTTATTGCATGAGCTGTTGTCAGTGGTCAACGTGTATAAGAGAATGGTCAAATAGGGTGCAAAGGAACTAAGGTGAAGTGATTTTATCAGTTCGTACTTTAAGCGTGCAATTTACAAGTCACGTGAGATGAGGAAAAAGATGTCCTTTCTTGGCTAATTTTTGAAAGTAACTTCGTACATGCCAGCCAAATACGTACCTTAAAGGCTATTCATGATTGATGAGAGCCGTCAGGGATAAAAAACTTGGTTGTATGGAATAAATATATCCCTAAAGTTGTAAATTTCTCAGTTTGATAAACTGGAAACGCTTTACATGAAAGAAATTCAAACAGAGTATATCCAATCCGATTTCAAGAAAGAAGTACTAAATTATGGGATTTATTTCACGAAAGTTTCCTTATTTCTAAAACGCGAGAAATTGAATGATCCATAGTTCAAGTAATGTTGGACGCATAAAAATGACACTATTTACACTCCAGCTACCCCCCTCCCCCTCGTGTTTGTAAATGATACAGATGAACCATAATTGTATTTATTTATTTCAAAAGGCAGGCGTTTTGATAGATATCATTAGCCATTTAGCTGACTTCGGACTTCACAGAGGGAAAGTTCATCATAGTAGCAGAAAATCGAGGGGTGGAGAACTGAAGAGCGATTCACAGATGTAAAAGAGGCAGACAGACACAAAGGTAGAGAAAAAGGTAAGGTGAGTACTATGGAAGGGGTCGAATATGACAACCAGGGGGGTCGTGGTAGTTTGAAGTCAGAAGTTAACTGCCAGTTAATAGACTTTTTTGCCGTATGAGTATACGTTGCCCAGGGTGTACCACGTGGAGGTAAGTCTATCGCACACCCCATCATCATGATACAGATGAACCAGAATTGTATCATCAGCCTTTTAATTAATGCTGAAAAGTAAAAATGGATAAGCAATCACTTCGAGTGACTGGAACTCTTGAAGAATTCAGCCCTTCCAGAATTCTAAAAATTTGGGCAATNCCGCTTGATACAATTATTTAGTTAACGTGGCAAATGTCTGATAGTCCCATCTTTGGCTTGGCATGACATACAATATCAAATCCAAGTTTTCTCTCACAGAGATATCGACATAAAGAAGCTGAGCACCTTCGCCATCACTCAGAGGCACTGAAACTCGAGGCGAAAGGAGACAATTTTTATAAAAGATATACATTTTCAACGAAATTGACTTCAGTTGCGGTGTTATTGACTGGAACATAGTAAGGCCATAATCGATAATTAAAGCGCAGGGATTTCAGTTAAGGGATTTCGAGAGAATACATATCGAAGTTCCATTACAATTCGATTTCCCAGCTTAGATCAGTCAGAAGATAATGACATCTTTTTAGAGTTTTGGAATTCTTGTTCAATTCATTCTTTAACCGGCATCTTTTAAGCTATTGTTTCTACCTAATGCACAAGATCAATAATGGCCTATTTGAAGTTATCGATGACCATTAACGCTTGTTATATTTTTTTATATTTTAAATGACGGGCTTTAGGATACTTATCATTAGCCCTTTAGCTGACTTCGGGGCTTCACAGAGGAGGAGGAGGAACATCAACGTGGAAAAAGTGGAGAGGGGAACAGAAGACTAATTCAAAGATGTAAAAGAGACAGACAGACACAAAGGCAGAGAAAAGGTAAGATGAGTACTGTGGAAGGGGTCGAATATGGCATACAGTGGGGTCATAGTCATTTGAAGTGGGAAGTCACCTGCNTCCAATCCGATTTCAAGAAAGAAGTACTAAATTATGGGATTTATTTCACGAAAGTTTCCTTATTTCTAAAACGCGAGAAATTGAATGATCCATAGTTCAAGTAATGTTGGACGCATAAAAATGACACTATTTACACTCCAGCTACCCCCCTCCCCCTCGTGTTTGTAAATGATACAGATGAACCATAATTGTATTTATTTATTTCAAAAGGCAGGCGTTTTGATAGATATCATTAGCCATTTAGCTGACTTCGGACTTCACAGAGGGAAAGTTCATCATAGTAGCAGAAAATCGAGGGGTGGAGAACTGAAGAGCGATTCACAGATGTAAAAGAGGCAGACAGACACAAAGGTAGAGAAAAAGGTAAGGTGAGTACTATGGAAGGGGTCGAATATGACAACCAGGGGGGTCGTGGTAGTTTGAAGTCAGAAGTTAACTGCCAGTTAATAGACTTTTTTGCCGTATGAGTATACGTTGCCCAGGGTGTACCACGTGGAGGTAAGTCTATCGCACACCCCATCATCATGATACAGATGAACCAGAATTGTATCATCAGCCTTTTAATTAATGCTGAAAAGTAAAAATGGATAAGCAATCACTTCGAGTGACTGGAACTCTTGAAGAATTCAGCCCTTCCAGAATTCTAAAAATTTGGGCAATATGTACTCTTCTGCTGGCGTGTTCAAGTGCAGAATGGAAGTTCTGACAACGTTGGGAATTTTCGAGGGTTATTGCAAGTTTTAGGATAATGATCAATATGAAATAAGTGTACGGAAGCTACAATTATATTTCTTGAGTAAACCAAGGCACCACCTTAGAACGACACTCCAACAAGGCGAAAATACAGACGTATTTTAAAACATTAGCTTGTTTACGTAAACTTTGTGAAAAGATTAATCGAAAAAGAGAATAATTTAACGTCAAGTGGGGTGCCTTCGACAGAAGTCATAAATCAACACCTGGCGATTGGAAGACGGATATGATTTCGACAGGCACACACACACAGCCATGGGCATGTGCCACACGAAAGTGACCTGTTTATCAATAAATTTGGATGAGCTTCCTGATCATCCAAAACTGTTGAGGTGACATGAATGATTCGAATTATTCTTTCTTTGTAGCCTCGGTGCAAATTATGGCCACTTGAGAGGGATCTCTTTTATGGATTTTAATATATAATTAGGAGAATGTGTTAATCATTCAGAATTAGATATCTCGAGTCTCGCAATATCTTAATCATTATTCATAGTAAAGTTAAAAATAAGATAGAAAAATTTCATAGTAATGTTTTAGAAGCTGTTTAATACGAATAAGAGCAATCACATTTTTTTTGCATTTTTGGAAGTAAATGAAAATGTTCAATCGAACCTTGGAAATGGATTTGTTTCATATCGAGGGTTTATCAACTGCTTACTCTACTAAATTACATAACAGTTACTTTCTTTCAAGAGTCCATCGCATTTTTCGAGCATACGAAGTAGAAATCCACATTATTTAGTAAAAATTCATTCCAGTCATTATAACCGTTATTCAAATTCAAATTTGCTTTAACTTCTAGATCATTTTTTACTTTGTACAAGAAAATGCCCCATTCCATCTGCCTGCGTGTGTGTGTGTGTGTGTGGTCTTCCTCTTTTTTTGCCTACTTTCCACCATTCTGGAATCATTTTTCATTTCATTTTTTTTCTCTCCTTTTCCTCTTGCACGCAACTTCAATATATTTTTAATCCCCTCGATGTTTAATTTTACATAGTTCGAAGTAAATGTATGTGTCCGGAGAGAGGCGTGCACTTATTAAATTAGATCACTATGTGTACAAGGAGGCAAATTTCACAATACTACCAGGATTTTAAACTACCAGGGCTCACTAGAATTCACTCAAGTTGGTTACACAGTAGTAAATGAAGTAGCAAAAGTTTATTTAGATCAAATGGCAGTTATCATTAGCCCGTGAGTTGACTTTAAGGATCACAGGGGCAGGGAACAGAAGAGTGTTTCAAAGATGAAAAAGAGGCAGACACAAAGGCAGAAAAAAGGTAAGATGAGTGCTGTGAAAGGGGACGAATATGGCACACAATGGGGTCATGGTAGTTTGAAGTCAGAAGTGAATTGCCGGTTGGTAGACTTTTTGCCGTATGAGTATACGTTGCCTCGGGTGCACTACGTGGAAGTGAGTCTATCACACACCCCAGGTAGCAAGAAGTGAATGAAGAAGAGCATTTATTTGTCATTTAGTTGGTACTTCCTTTCACTTAACCTGCCTGCCATTTTTCGTGAATTACCAATGACATTGGCAGTCTGACATTCGCATATCCACATTGTGTTACAGTTCGTGTGTATTTCATCCAAAAATAGCAGGATAATGAGAGCAAATATAAATGGAATCAGTTTACGAAAATATTCTAACATCTTCATTCTATTCTATTTAGGATTTACTTTGGCTATTAATCTTCTCAAACACCAGTTCAAATAGGCGTATTTCCTCCCTAGAAGCATACAAATATTTTCCATGTGCCCATTTCGAAATTGATCATTGATGATGGCGTTAATGGAGTAATTTAACCGTGTTGAAATCCGCAATGTTGCAATTGATTATTGGTACTGTGATGAAGTAATCAAATTGCTTGATGACTAAGTCGGAAGTCAAGAAATTATTCCCCATCGGTTCACATATTGTGATGCTAATATCCACTTCCATTAGTTAACTCAGTTAACGTGGGCTTCATGCAGGAGTGAATAATGTATCAGTTACTCAGAGAAAAATACAAAAACAGTAGTTTTAAATGGATCCCCGGGCATTGTGGCATTATAGGCAATGGGTGCACTGATACACTTGCTTAGAAGGGGACCACAATTTTGTAAGATATAGACTGACCAATGTCTTTCCACACAATGAAGATTTTAATCAGGAGAGAATTCAAGACTTCAGAAAGAAAAATCTCATCTCTTCTCATTTCCTTTGATATTACAATTCGCTCTACTTCCAAATATGATATTTTCATCACAAGCCAATTTCCTTAACGTGCTATTTTCTGAGTGAATGTTTATTTCAAATGGCAGGCGTTTCGAAAGACATCATTAGCCATTTAGCTGGCTTCGGGCTTC